GAATTGAACTTGTTACTTTGTAATATTAAGTTCTTTTATCTTAGTTGTCATTTTTTTTTGCTGTTTGCTTGCTTTTAAATTGATTGGACTGGCAATTATCTTACCCTATATAATACCAAAAATTTCTGATTTACATTTTTTCTGCCCAAATAAGCCCAAATAAAACTGTTTCGTTTGCTATGCCTTTTTTATTCGATTTTGTCATTGCTTTACAGCCACAGATCATGTTAACATCTCTATTATAAAATAGCAATAAGAAGTAGTAAATGATCAATTGGCAAAAGTTCCCGCTCAAAGAAAGAAGATTCTAGACAATGGTATATTATGAATCAGTCTTTTAATATCTCTATAAAACAATTACTTGGTACTAATTAACAAAACTTGGTACTAATTAACAAATAGTAATAAATGCCTACAACAGACGTGTAATTGCATTTGATTCTATACATAATCTCAATATTCAAAACATTGTTGGTTGTTGCAATGAACCTGCAGAAGCAGTATTAATTCTTTAAAAGTTTACAAAACATAATTCAAATTGTAGCAAGATTCAAGATTTTGGAAATCAAAATGTATTAATTGTTTACAGCTTTTGAAACACACTTTTCACAATTACTTTTATCATTTACTCCAGTATAAATATTAACAAATGCATTGTGAATTTAACTACAAAATATCCAATCAGCATCCGAGACCATAGTGAATATTGTTGGAGGAATAACCAGAGATCAATGGAGACGAAAAGGTTGCCAGGAACATATTTACGAAGGATTAGAACCTGAGAGGGAGTAACCAAAGAGATCCAGACATTGGAGAGAGCAGCAGAGTTGGTAGGGAGGGAACCATATTATCTGTATGTAGTTGAATGGAAGCTGTGGAGTTATTAGAAAAACGACCACACCTTCGCTGCTCTTTGAGCGGGAACTTTCTCTCTCAATCTCCCACAGTTGAGAGACTGCAATTTGGTAGTTTAATTTCGGTTTCGAGCTGAGATAACTGAATTGGAAAAACAGCGATGATGAACAACATCGTGAAATCTAGTAATCTCAGGCACCTCCTGCAATCTGTTCCGTCGTCATTAGCCGCCCGAGCCATCTCTACCGCTTCTTCTTCTCCCATTCTTCGGCAGTCTTCCGTCCTGGGCAATCGTCTCTTGGCCGGTAATCCCTCCCCTTCAGCTACACCGTTGTCCGTAGTGTTAGCGTAATTGTAATTGTGCCTGTTTAGTTTTCCTGTTTAGTTTTGGGAACTCTTATGAAATATTCAGTGCAAATTCCTGTTTAGTTTTCCTGTTTAGTTTTGGGAACTCTTATGAAATATGCAGTGTATGCAAATTCCTGTTTAGTTTTGGGAACTATTATTAAATATGCAATGTATGCAAATTCCTGTTTAGTTTTGAGAACTCTTACGAAATATGCAGAGGAAATTAGCAACCGAATTTCTGTTTAGTTTTCCAGTTTAGTTTTGGGAACACTTATAAAATATGCCGTGCATGCAAATTCCCGTTTAGTTTTGGGAACTCTTATAAAATATGCAATGCAAATTCCTGTTTAGTTTTGGCAATTCTTATAAAATATGCGGTGCAAATTCCTGTTTAGTTTTAGGAACTCTTCTGAAATATGCAGTGTATGCAAATTCCTGTTTAGATTTCCTGTTTAGTTTTGTAAACTATTATGAAATATGCAATGTATGCAAATTCCTGTTTAGTTTTGGGAACTCTTACGAAATATGCAGATTAGATTAGCAACCGGATTTATGTTTAGTTTTCCTGTTTAGTTTTGGAGCTCTTATGAAATATGCAGTGTATGCAAATTCCTGTTTAGTTTTGGGAACTCTTATGAAATATGCTGTGCAAATTACTGTTTAGTTTTCCTGTTTAGTTTTGGGAACTCTTATGAAATATGCAGTGTATGCAAATTCCTGTTTTAGTTTTGGGAACTCTTACGAAATATACAGAGCACATTAGGAACCAGATTTTTGTTTAGTTTTCCTGTTTAGTTTTGGGAACTCTTATGATATATGCAGTGCAAATTCATGTTTAGTTTTCTTGTTTGAGATGGAGCACATACTTCAATTTGCTATCAGAGCCAGACCAAAGGTCATGGGTTCGAAGCTCAGGGTCACCCATAACCGACTACGGTCCACGTGTTGCTTGGAACCCACCGCACACGTGAGGGGCGTGTTGAGCATATATCCCAGCTTAGGCTTTTAGTGGCTTAGGCTTTTAGTTGAGATGTAGCACATGCTTCAATTTGGTATCAGAGCATCCAACTATCAGCTTAGGCTTTTAGTTGAGATGGAGCACATGCTTCAATTATGCAATGTATGCAAATTCCTGTTTAGTTTTGGAAACTCTTACGAAATATGCAGAGCAGATTAGCAACTAAATTTCTGTTTAGTTTTCCTGTTTAGTTTTGGGAACTCTTATGAAATATGCCGTGCAAATTCCTGTTTAGTTTTCTTGTTTAGTTTTGGGAACTCTTAGGAAATATGCAGTGTATGCAAATTCCTGTTTAGTTTTCCTGTTTAGTTTTGGGAACTCTTATGAAATATGCCGTGTATGCAAATTCCTGTTTAGTTTTCCTGTTTAGTGTTGGGAACTCTTATGAAATATGCAAGTGTATGCAAATTCCTGTTTAGTTTTGGGAACTCTTACGAAATATGCATAGCAGATTAGCAACCAGATTTCTGTTTAGTTTTCCTGTTTAGTTTTGGGAACTCTTATGAAATATGCAGTGCAAATTCCTGTTTAGTTTTGGAAACACTTATGAAATATGCAGTGTATGCAAATTCCTGTTTAGTTTTGGGAACTCTTACGAAATATACAGAGCACATTAGCAACAAGATTTCTGTTTAGTTTTTCTATTTAGTTTTGGGAACTCTTATGAAATATGCAGTGCAAATTCATGTTTAGTTTTCCTGTTTGAGATGGAGCACATGCTTCAATTTGGTATTAGAGCCAGACCACAGGTCATGGGTTCGAATCTCAGTGCCACCCATAAGCGACCATGTTGCTTAGCACCCACCGCACACTTGAGGGGGCGTGTTGAGCATATAGCCATTAATGTGCAATCCAATTATCAGTTTAGGCTTTTAGTTGAGATGGAGCATATGCTTCAATTTGGTATCAGAGCCAGACCAAAGGCCATGGGTTCAATTGCTAAGCAAATACATTCAAGCCTTGGGCAACATTACAAAGGAGGTGAGGCACATAGATATATGGAGTCACATCATTCTGTCTAATTTCTGCTGAAAACGTATCTGCTTCTTCAATTTAGGGCACAACACTGTGCTTCCAACCACTGCTTCTAATCATGCCAGTATGATTGCTCAAACTCTGAATATCTTCAGAGGCTTAGCAATCAAGAATTCTAACAGTGGATATCTACCGATCAAGGTCTCTGTCAACAAAGCCAAAATAGAATGACTAGATCTCTGTTTGCTGTAGTATTGATACATGTTTTCTCACTACAAACCCCCAAGCACAAAGCTTAAGCATGTACCACACCAAACTCATTGCAGCTCAGAACCTCCTTCAATTACCTGGTTCATTATATATAGAATAAGTGTTATTTTTGTAGTCATAAAACACGAAAGCGTTTTGGCCCATCGTCACACCATACATCTTGCAGAAATATATATACTGCCTTTTTGCAATTACCCAAATCCCTGACATAGTTTCATTCACTTGATTGTAAGAATAGTACTCTCTAATTGATCATATGCCACTTGCAGTTTCACTTTCTTTTGTTACGTTGTCTTTACTCTTTAGGCCAATTAAATAATTTGCATGACATTAATCTTATCATCTTTAGGCTAAATAAGCAACTAAGTCCGTCATCTTCGTCAACCTTATCATCTTTAGTTTGTTTTTCCTTAACTTTCTCAATCGCCGATTCGCCGACTTTAATTTGAGGTTGTCGCTCAGGATCGTCAGAGTCGAGAGAGGCTGATCTGATAATGAATATGAATATATTAAGGAAACAACCTTTGAGTTGGAGAAAAAGGGGGTGCAATCACCCAAGCTTTATGAATAGTTATGCTGTGCAACGGTTGCAAAACGACATCGTTTTGACTAAAAACGGGCGTCTTATTTAAAAAAAATCAGTTTCGATTCCCCTCATCAGTATTATGTTGTTCACTCATTGTGGATATTTAGTTCATTCATTGTGGATATTTAGTTCATTCATTCTGGATTTTGTGTTATTCATTCACTGTGGATATATAGTTATGAATTTGTGGATATATAGTTATGAATTTGTGGATGTATAATTCAAATTACGAACAAAAAAATGCTATTGTCGGGAATCGAACCTGATTTTTTTTTATTTTAAAGTGTGACGCACATTTTTAGTCAAAACGACGTCGTTTTTGCAACCGTGTGCACACAGTTGCACAGCATAATTTGCGAAACTATGACGGTCCCAAACGGTAACGGTGCTCGTAAGTGACACCGTTATCTTTTTTTTTTTTTTTTTTTTTTTTTTTTTTTTTTTTTCCCCTTAATTTACAGTGCGACTTTTCTTCTTCGTTTTCACATTTCGCGATTTCACTTTCTCTTCGCGCAAGCTTCTTCAACACTCATAAATTATGAATATGTAGACATGGATTTATGAATGTACATGCATGGATTTATGAACGTGCAGTTATGAAATTATGAATTTTCTTTTATGAGATTATGAATTTTCTGTTATGAAATTATGAATTTTCTGTTATGAGATTATGAATTTACAGAAAATTCATAATTACATACTGTAAATTCATAATTCATAATCTCATAACAGAAAATTTATAATTTAATAAATGTTTTTCTTTTATGAGATTATAAATTTTCTGTTATGCGATTATGAATTTTCTGTTATGCGATTATGAATTTTCTGTAAATTCATAATCTCATAAATGTAAATTCATAATCTGAACACAGAATGCAAAACGCCGTTAACAGTACATTAACTAATTTTTTTTTTTTTCCGTAAAAACGACGCTGTTTTGGAACGTGTTTACAAAGCATGGTGAACATGTTTCCACGACATAATTTGCCTTATATTCACTGTCTCCTCATTTCCATATTTCGAATCCCATTTTAAGCCTTTTTGAGACAAGGCATTCTGCAAGACGATGCAGCCACAAGACAAGGCAAAGCCACAAGACGAGGCAAATACACGATAATGCACAGAAGTGAACAATTCAATGCACAAGACGAAGCAATACAAGACTACCAAGTCCAAGTTCAAGATGAGACAAGACAAGACACCATTTTGGGTATTGTTAGGAATATTGTAAGATTTTTTTTTTTAATTTTTTTTTTTTGAGAGAGAATATTGTAAGATTTTGATGAGCCAAAATGTACGTATTTTGAAAAAAATAGGATCGGACTTCCCAATTTTAGTTGTTAGTTGATTAATCTTGTGTTTTTAGGAGATGGATGCGCCTTTACCACAACCCGACCCTTCGTTATGTGGTGACTAAGTGTGACTGGATAATTGGACAAGGTATTGATGGGTCTAACTCGATACACTTGGTCTAACATGTCAAATCAAAATGACAGTCAAAGGTATATTTATCATGGGATGGGAGAAAATGAATTATGTCCAACATGAATATAATATACATACGTAATTATGAATATTTGTAAGGTTATATGAACCGCACCAAGAATAATATATTTACATCGGGTCAGCCTTCTATAAATTCGGGTCAGCCTTCCATCCCATCAGCCCTTGACAAAATTAGCATGTATGTTCAAAAAGTTTGCTGCTAGGATTCGAACTGGAGATTTTTAGATAGTAGAGTATTACATGCCTTTGGAAGTTGGAACATAGAAGTTAAGGAGATTATTGTATTGTTACGAATTAGTATTTTCGCCCGTGCGATGCACGGAATAGATTTGTTATAATATATTAAAAATATTTGGATTGATATATAATTATTTAAATTAGAAAATCGAATATTATATAGTGCAATTGAAGATATTGTTTGGAGTATTTATGTGTTTTGATGTTATCATTGTTTGAATTTGAATAAATAATTGCTCAAATTAATAGTTAATGTGTAGATGTACGCATGCGGTGCTGTAACTTTGGAGATTTTATTTATCATTGTTTAGTACGAAGTATTTTTGTTTTAAAAAATTAGGCAAATGTGTTAATTCATCTAGCTACTCAGTTATAAGAATGAATTGTTGTCTTAATTCATTTGTATGGAATATATATATATATATATATATATATATATATATATATATATATATATATATATATATATATATATATATATATATATATAGAGAGAGAGAGAGAGAGAGAGAGAGAGAGTTAATTCCAGCAATGGTCCTCCGACTATGTTGATTTTTCACAATTGGTCCTTGACTTTTAATTTGGACAATTTAGACACTTGACTTTCAAATTCTTTCCAATGTTAGTCCTTCCGTCAAATGAGGGTTAAGTGGATGTTAGTTTTAGGGGTAAAATAGTCATTTCACTTGCTTAGTTTATAATTATCTCTTCCAAGGCATTCTCTGATGTGCACGTCCTCCATGTTCAACTTCTCGAATATAATTTGAGCGTTTTCATCTCCTCTCTGCTCGGAATAACAGTACAGCTTCCTTCCTTGTTGGGATATATATGAATCTGATGAAGCTAAGAATAGGTACATACTATATATATATATATATATATATATATATATATATATATATATATATATATATATATATAGCCTTTTTAACCGTGTATTCATTTTAACTGAATTGCATATTCAAATTAATAAAAAGGCAGACACAAGAAAATCTGCATGTTTGATGAGGTCGAGAGAATCGGGAGCCCAGAAACGAGTTCTTGAAAAATCCCGCAAAATCTCCATAACTCTTGCAAAGATAAAAACATGGAAGCTAAGTGAACTTACCCCGCATCCAGTATCAATGGCAGTCCTGATCGTCCCATCTTTCATACCGGGAATCAAATCTACCATTGAATCAACATACTTGGTAACTCCATCGGGAAACATGGTCCCTCCTCCGGGAAAAATGAACTTCTTCTCCCCGTCCTTCTGTAACCAATGTTGATTAGATTTTTCCTTGTTAATCCAATCATATGGAACATTCCTAAACTAGTTCCAAATAGAATCTGATGTCAGATCCGAAGGTGGAAATTCAATTCAACCAAACATAAAAAAACACCCATCCACAACACCGAATAAGGCCATACCTGTACCAACATTCGCTTTTGCTCTTTGGCCATCTGATAGGCGGCTGATAGCCATCCGGTGGAGGTACCAAACACTCCATCCTTTCAAATGGTGGTGGGCAGTGGCGTTCCATGAATGTTAGTCTTTGTAGACCGTATAGTATTTCTTCCACCTCTGTAATATATGACCCGCATTTTATTCAAAGATACAATTGTAGTTCGGCTAATACCACGAGACTGGCTTCGAAAATACCTTGGGATCAGTGCAGGGAGTGTAATCCTGAAAGTCGGGACTGCACTCAGGAAACGGAGTGTCCTCGGTTTGCAGTGAGCCACCATCGGCAGTGCCCTCGAAAGATTCAGCCCCCTTGGATAGATCATTAGTTGCATAACCGTCCTTCTCAGAATAGAATTGATATATAAATGGCGCAATGGCACGGTATGGACCTATTCTTAGCTTCATCAGATTCATATATATCCCAAAAAGAAAGGAAGTTGTTCTTCTGAGCAGATGAAAACGCTCAAATTATTCGAGAAGTTGAACATGGAGGACGTGCAGATCATAAAATGCCTTTGAAGAGATAATTATAAACTAAGAAGCGAAATGACTATTTTACCCCTAAAACTAACATCCATTTGACGGAAGGACTAACATTGGAAAGAATTCGAAAGTCAAGTGTCTAAATTGTCCAAATTAAAAGTCAAGGACCAATTGTGGAAAATCAACATAGTTGGAGGACCATTGCTGTAATTAACTATATATATATATATATATATATATATATATATATATATATATATATATATATATATATATATATATATATATATATATTGTCTAGATATATAGTAATTTTGTCATTTAAAAAAACATAATATCAACGATTGTATTTACACATTATTGAAACCTCTTTGCAGACGACATTGGTAGTAGCAACGCAATCCTGTCCATCATCGTATAGAGCTAACACCTTCAGTCCAGGTGACTCGGGTGAAAATATATAACGGTAGAGTATTAATCAATTAGCGATCCTTTTATATTTTAAGTCAATTAGTGATATCAAATTCGTTTTCAGTAAATTATTCTTTTATATTTTTAATCAATTAGTCAATTAGAATATCATATTCAGTGATATTTTTACCTAATTTTCGTTTCATTTTTAATTGATGATGCATAATATTATTATTATTGAAGTATTCCCGTTCCATTTTTAATTATCTTTAATATTGTTTAAAATATGCATTTACTATTTATGATGTAGAATTATTATTGAAATATATCCGTCAAATTTTAGTTTCCGATCCATTTTTAATTAAAATGCAATGATCTAACCATTTTTTTTTCATATTAATCAATTATGGATCATTTTTTATTTGTAGTCAACTTTTAGTATTCATTTCTTTTTTATAGTTTTAGTCAATTTGTAATGTAATATTCATTTTCAGCCAATTATTCTTTTTTTATTTTCAGTCAATTAGTCATTTAGCCAATTAGAATATCAGATGCAGTGATATTTTTACCCAATTTTCATTCCATTTTTAATTGATGATGTAGAATATTATTATTGAAATATTTCCGTTTCATTTTTAATTTTCGTTGCATTTTTAATTTACCTTTACTATTGTTTAAAATATGTCTTTACTATTGATGATGTAGAATATTATTATTTAAATATTTCCTTTGCATTTTTAATTTACTTTCACTTAATGATGTAGAATATTATTATTAAAATATTTTTGTTCCATTTTTAATTTCCATTTCATTGTTTAAAATTGTGAAAGATTTATTATATAATTGTGATTTGATGTATTATACTGTATAATATTATTGTGAAAAATTAAAATGCAATAACCTGACCATTTCCTTTTCCATTTTAGTCAATTATGGATCATTTTTTATTTTCAGTCAATTATTAAGATTCATTTTCTTTTCCAATTAACCTAACTTCAATTCCTTTTTTTCATTTTTAATTTTCAGTGAATTATTAATATTCATTTCTTTTTTTCCAATTTACTTAATTTCCATTCCATTTTTAATTGATGATGTAGAATATTATTGTAAAATATTTATGTTCCTTTTTTTCATTCTTTTTTTTTAATTTACCTTTACTAAATACTATTGTTTAGGCAGGAAATCAAGTAAATATGATTTTGTTTTTAATTATAGTATATATTTGACCGTGAAGTTGTAGCATATATATATATATATATATATATATATATATATATATATATATATATATATATATATATATATATATATATATATATATATATATATATATATATATATATATATATATATATATATATATTTTCAAGGAATAAGAACTTTATTAATAATAAAAGCAAGGCCAAAGCCAGTACAAAGTCTGAACGGACTTAGGCCCCACATGGCCTAAATCCTAAAATAAACTAAGTAAAGAACCGCAAAGTAAAACGAGATAACATAAAGTGGCCCCCGGGGCTCTAACATGGATGCCCCCAGGTCCTACGGTAGCTAACATTAACTAATCGCAGGCAGGAGTATGTCAATCAAGCAAGTAGACCGAGATGCTGCTCCAAAATATGCACGTACAGCCTAACTGCATCCCAGCCCATCATGTAATCCAAAATCTCAAGTAGCGAGGATAGATGCCTCGCGTGTCACAAACGTGCCCCCCCCCCCAGCCAGTTGCACTACAGCGACTACACACCATAATGCCACCTAGCCGGGATGCACCACAATTGTAACACCTCCCGGAGCGCCATCGACTGCCGTGTAGAACCCGGCATGCCATACAATAAATAGTGCACAGATAACAATAACACGCAGGACAAAGCAGCTAACAATGGCACGCAGGCCTAAGTCAAGTAATGGGACGCCGTCCTGAGACAGAAGTACCAGGTAGATCCCGGGCCAATAAATCATCAACGCAGCACAAGGCAGCCAATAGCAGAACTCCCGATCAGCACCAGCACGAACCAGAACCAACCCTAACGGGATTAGCTACTATGGGCCAGCAGCAAGCCTGGACTACCGCCAACGGATTTGAAAAACACCTACCCGGCCACCGTTCAGCCCGGGCTACGATGCAATTTTTTACCGCTTGCATCGGCGTTGAGACCCGGTCTTTTCCAGAGATGCCTGCAAAGGCGAAACCAAAAAGAGCCCAAGACCAGTTCATGCCTCCGAGGTCAAAGAAACAGCACCTGCAAAAATAGAAACAAGATAGAACAAACAAGCATCCTGTTCCCATGACCCAACTATCACATCTATCTCGGGTGAGTGTTTAAGTTTATAACGGGCTTGCGCGAACAAAAAGCAACCCCCAAAGTAAAAGCCCGACCCCCCGGAGTCCAGAAGGAACTCAGCTACTATTGGCCAGCAGCAAGCCTGACCAGGTCAACGGATTTGATAATCCTGCCCGGCACACCGTTCAGCCCGGACTAGGGTGCCCTGTTGTACCGCCAGCACCTTACGTTGAGACTCAGCACTGCATAGCAGGGCTTCCCGGTCTCCAGAACCTCACACACTCACTGTTTTGACTCCCATCCACTCTTTCTTTCCCTCCCAACTCTCATCTTTCACACTCCAATTCTTTTCACTCCATTCTTTATCTTTTTCTTTTTTGCCTTCTTCTCTCTTTTTTTATTATTTTTTATTTTTTATTTATTTTCCCTTCTTTCTTTTTTTTCCTTTTTCTTTTTTCTGTTTTTTCTTTTTTCCATATTTCCATCTGAGCAAAAAGTACAAGTACAATCACGGGGGATCATCAATATCAAAAAACACATAGGGCACATCATCATGTATCAGTAAAGCACGGACCCTACGTGGCAGATCATTGAGGCTCCGAAAGATGGCCTCCCCCGGCCTATCCACCGCCCAGTCAGCTAGCGCCTGTGCAGGCATATTGGCCCTAGACGGGCACACAGCAGCAGTAACCACTCCACAAGAACACTGGAAACGGAGTCTGGTCACCACATCATCTAGAATCCACGGTGGACGCGCAGAGATATCAACGTAGCTGGCCAACTCCGCCCAAGTGGACTCTATATCAATCAAAGTAGCTCCCCCGGCCAGGCACCATTCCAGGCAAGAGAAAAGGACTCGGAACATGCCCCGGGCGTGCTCCCCGTGGCCAGACCACGCAACCCCGTAGCAAAAGCCACCCTCCTGGTTGCGCACCACGGCCGCAGCCCCCCCAGCCGCCGAAGACCGAGAAAGATTGATCTTTAACGCCCCGGCAGCCGGGGGCCGGGGGGACCACCTGACCGACCTAATAACACGCCTCGGCACATGTGCCTCCAAGTATGCCACAATAGTCCTCCAGTTAGAGGGCAGGATATGCTGCATGGGCCAACGCCTAAACAGACATTCTGCCACTCCCTTTGCCACCCCATGCATCACCCGTGCAACGCTGTGTGTGTCTCGGCCGTACATGCACCCATTACGGTGCTTCCACAGCTCCCACAACACCAGATACGGCAACCTGCAAACAACAAAAGACAAAAGAGGGTTACGCGCCCCCGCCCGACCCCATCCCGCAATCAAAGTCCTAAGACTCCGGTGCCGCGAGTAGAGGCCGAGGGACGCCAAAACATATCTCCAAACAGCTCTTGCTGTTTCCCCAGAATAAAAAATGTGATCAATAGACTCGGGGACCGGGGATGGACAACACCGACACCTCGAGACGATCGCATGACCGAAACGGGCCAAGATGTCATCCGTGGGAAGCCGCCCTCGGAACACCCTCCAAGCCAGGAAGGACACCTTAAAAGGAAGGTGCTTGCGCCAACACTTAGCTAAGAGCGGGTCCGGTGCAGTGGGCAAAGCAAGCCTAAGAAAGGCCTTAGCAGAGGAATAAGAGAACATACCGTCGGACGCAACGGTCCAGAGAGGGATATCACGCGGGCCCTGCCCCAAGCGGGACAGGTCCGCCCTAATCCCTGCATATGCCAAGTCATCGTGGTCTGTCAGATCAAGCTGGCCATCCCGCACATAGTCTAGAAGCAACTCCCGGGAGTAGGAAACCCTCCGGTGTGGATAGAGCCTGCCAAGTGGGCCCAGACCCGACCAGTTGTCCCACCAGAAATTAACCCGGCCTTGGAACAACCGCCAAGT